TCCTGCCACAAACACCATGAGGGAGAGAACAATTCCCATTTATTCATGAAAGCACTGAGGCTTACAGAGATTACTTTATTTGCCCGGGGTCCAATAAATGGAGAAGACTGAATTTAAGTTCAAGTCTGTCTGATACCAACACCTTTATTCTTATGTAATGTGACTTTGAGCAGCTGACTTCACCTCTCCAAGCCTCAGTGCCTTATTTATAAACTGGAACTAAGCAACACACACTGCAAAGGACGGTCGTGAGGATCAGTGAGACACAGTGAGCAAAGAGCTTAGCACAGTTTCCAGCACATCAGTTTCCCTCCCTCCGTCATAGTATTTGGCCTACCTTCCTAATTTCCTTCCTTCCTCCCTGCTTTCCCTCCCTCTCTTCCTCCTCCTTTCTTTTCTTCCCTCCTTCCTTCCTTCGTTCCTTTTGCCTCCTCTCGTAAAGCCTGTTGTGGACCCACAAAACTAAAGGAGACTGTTATGATTGGGTTTGCCCCCACCAAAACTCATGTAGAAATTCAATCCCCAATGGTGTTGGGAGGTGGGGCCTAGTGGAAGGTGTCTGGGTCACGGGGATGGATCCTCCATGAATGGTTTGGTGCCATTCTCATGGTAGTGAGTGAGTTCTTGCTCTGGTGAAACTGGATTAGTCTCATGAGAATGGATTGGTTCCTGTGAGACTGCGTTCTTATAAAGCCAGGATGCCCCTGGGGTTTTGTCTGCTTTCCCTTCGACTTTCTCCTTCATGTCATGATGCACCAGGAAAAAAGCTCTCACCAGAAGCTAGTGCCGTGCCTTTGAACTTCCCAGCCTGTAGAACCCTGGACTAAGTAAAACTCTTTCCTTTGGCTGGGAGCAGTGGCTCATGCCACACCTGTATCCTAGCACTTTAGAAGGCTGAGGCGGGCGGATCACTTGAGGTCAGAAGTTTGAAACCAGCCTGGCCAACATGGCGAAACCCCATCTCTGCTAAAAATACTAAAAATTAGCTGGCTGTGTTGGCAGGTGCCTGTAATTCCAGCTACTTGGGAGCTGAGACAGGAGAATCAACTTGAACCCAGGAGGGAGAGTTTACAGTGAGCTGAGATCACACCACTGCACTCCAGCCTGGGAGACAGAGCAAGACTCCACCTCAAAAACAAACAAAGAAACAAAACCAATCTTTCCCTCTAGAAATTACCCAGCCTAAGGTATTCTGTTATAGCAACACAAAAGAAGGACTAAAACTGGGACCTTAATGAAACTCCAGGCCAATATGGTCATTTAACTCTCAAAGGAACTAAGGCTCAGAGAGGTTAAAAGATCCACATGAGGTCACACAGCAGGTGAGTAGCAGATTCAGGAAAAGGACACAGACGTCTGACTCCCAGTTTGGTGCTCTTTCTATAGGTGATGCCTAGAAGGGTCCTGAGTGAGTAGAAGGAGCTGCTGAGGCTGGGCCCTAAGGGAACCTTCTGACTCTCTGAATCCTCCCCGCAGCCTCATATTCCTGAAGCCCAACCTGGAGACGCTGGACTTCTTTGACTTGCTGTGGATCGTGGGGATTGCAGACTTTGTTCTGAAGTACATCACCATCGCCCTCAAGTGCCTCATCGTGGCCCTGCCCAAGATCATCCTGGCCGTCAAGTCCAAGGTAGGCACTGGCTGTGGTCACTGGGTATCCCCAGTTACATGCATTATGCAGAAGATGCAGGGTGCCTTCTGAGGAGGAAAGAATGGTTGAGGCTGGACTGATGTTGGCATATAAAATAAACAGAGCCTGAGCTCGTGGCTCCTGTCACCCACCTCTTCTAATTACACGAAGCTGAGCATGGCTCTTTGTCATCACCACCTTGTCACACCTCTACCCTCTATGTGCGTTTCATAACTTAGGTTGTTCACAGCTATCCTTGATGCAATTTTCATCTACATTTCACCTGAGAGAGGGGAAAAAAGCATGTTAGCATCCCTGGGTCCTACTTCTCCCAGGGAGGGAGATGCCTAATAGGTTTTGACTCTCTGCAGCTTCCAGGAGCTCATTTTATAAAGGGGACTGAGGCTCAGAAGGAAAGAGCTTCATGATTGATTAGTGATGTCTGCCACAGACACTGGAGTGGGAATGAGAGCAATGATGCTTTGCAGTGTACCATGTACCACCTGAGAGAGGGAAAAAAAGCATGCTAGCATACTCTGGGTCCTGCTTCTCCCAAGGAAGGACAGCCCTAATAGGTTTTGACTCTCTGTGGCTTCCAGGAGCTCATTTTATGATGGGAACTGAGGCTCAGAAGGAAAGAGCTCCATGATTGATTAGCGATGTCTGCCACAGACACTGGAGCAGGGAGTGGTGAGAACAATGACGCTTTGCAGTGTACCATAGAGAAAGGTCTCCAGGCGGGTGTTGGAATGAAGAGGTCTTGGGGAATAGCCATTAGAGTTCAGAGGACTGAGTAGGGCTCAGACAAGGTATCACCTGTAGGACACAGAGATTGCCACTGGCTCTGTAAGGTGACCTAAAGGGAATCTGGACCAAAGCAGATGGAGTAAAGAATCTTTGAAGTCTCCTGCTTTCCATTCTGTAAAAACAGCCATCTTTCATATTCAGAAAGCTGAGAAGTGTCCCAAGCATTGCTTGGCAGCAGAGCAGCTTGGAAGTGACCATCAATC